CCCAAATGCACCCCAAAGTGCACCCAATGCTCTAAAATGCACCAAGATGTCACAAAAGTGCACCAAAATAAACCCAACCGCTCCTAAATGCTCCGAAATGTTCCAATATACCCCAAAAGTACCCCCAAAATGCCCCAAATCACCCCAAAATTGCTCTGAAATACCCTAAGAACACCACAAAATACCCCAAATGTCCCCAAAATTCCCCCAAACTACCCCTGAAATGCCCCCAAAACACCTGAAAACACCCCCAAAACGCCCCAAAATACCCCCAAAACACACTAAAACTCTCCAAAATGCCCCATAATGTGCCAAAACACCCCCAAAACACCCCAAAAATAAATTCCCCCAAACTACCCCTTAAATGCCCCCAAAACACCTGAAAACACCCCCAAAACGCCCCAAAATACCCCCAAAACACACTAAAACTCTCCAAAATGCCCCATAATGTGCCAAAACACCCCCAAAAATACCCCCAAACACACCAAAACACCCCCAAAATACCCCCAAAACACACCAAAACTCTCCAAAACGTCCTACAACGTGCCAAAACACCCCCAAAAATACCCCCAAACACACCAAAACACCCCCAAAACGCCCCAAAATACCCCCAAAACACCCCCCAAAACTCTCCAAAACGTCCTACAACGTGCCAAAAAACCTCCAAGTCCCCCCCGAAACACCCCCGAAATGCCCCAAACCACCCCAAAAGACCCCAAACCAGCCCAAAAGACCGCGCTACTCCCCAAACCAGCCCCAAATCCCCCCGTGGCCCGCGCTCACCCACGTAGGCGGCCTTGTCGGTCACCATGTACTTGGTGTGGCTGACGCGCGCGAAGGGGATGCGGCTCTGCGCCGCGCTGGCCGGCACCAGGAACAGCCGCTGGGGGACACGGGGGATTGTCACCATCCTGTGGGGTCTGTCACCCACCCTGAGGGGTCTGTCACCACCCCGAGGGGACTGTCACCACCCCGAAGTGATTGTCACCACCCTGCGGCTCTGCGCCGCGCTGGCCGGCACCAGGAACAGCCGCTGGGGGACACGGGGGATTGTCACCATCCTGTGGGGTCTGTCACCCACCCCCAAGTCATTGTCACCACCCCAAGTGGATTGTCACCCCCCGAGGGGACTGTCACCCACCCTGTGGGGTCTGTCACCCACCTAGAGGGGATTGTCACACCCCTGAGGGGGCTGTCACCCCCATGACAACAGCATTGTCACCCCTCTCATGGCAGTGCCACCCCCACAATGGCACCGCCACCCCTCTGATGGCACTGTCACCCCCATGATGGCATTGTCACCCACATGACAACAGCATTGTCACCCCTCTCATGGCAGTGCCACCCCCACAATGGCACCGCCGCCCCTCTGATGGCACTGTCACCCCCATGATGGCATTGTCCCCCACATGACAACAGCATTGTCACCCCTCTCATGGCAGTGCCACCCCCACAATGGCACCGCCGCCCCTCTGATGGCACTGTCACCCCCATGATGGCATTGTCCCCCACATGACAACAGCATTGTCACCCCTCTCATGGCAGTGCCACCCCCACAATGGCACCGCCGCCCCTCTGATGGCACTGTCACCCCCATGATGGCATTGTCCCCCACATGACAACAGCATTGTCACCCCTCTCATGGCACTGCCACCCCCATGATGGCACTGTCACCCCCAATGGCACCGCCACCCCCACGATGGCACTGCCACCCCTCTGATGGCATTGTCACCCCCATGACAACACCATTGTCACCCCTCTGATGGCACTGCCACCCCAATGATGGCATTGCCACCCCCACGATGGCATTGTCACCCCTCTAATGGCACTGTCACCCCCACGATGGCACTGCCACCCCTCTGATGGCATTGTCACCGCCATGACAACAGCATTGTCACCCCCACAATGGCACCGCCACCCCCGATGGCACTGCCACCCCTCTGATGCCACTGCCACCCCCACGACAACAGCATTGTCACCCCCATGATGGCACCGCCACCCCCGATGTCACCGTCCCCCCCCGGCGCGGCGGCACCCACCACCTGCACGCCGTAGCCGGTGCGGTTGTCGGCGAGCGCGGCCAGCGAGCGCAGGAAGGGGAACATCTCGGCGCGGCTGTGGGGCCAGCAGCCGGCCAGCAGCCGCAGGCGCACGCCGCGCTCCACGGCGGCGCGCCGCAGCCGCTCGTCCACGGCCGGCCAGAAGCGCCGCGGCCTCGAGAACTCCGTGGCCGGCACGTAGCTCATCACCGCCGCGTCCACGAACGCCTCGGCGCCGTCGATGACCGACAGCAGCGCCTCCAGGTCCGGCGTGCGGCCGGCGGCGCACAGCGGGGGCGGGGAGCTCTGCGGGGAGAGCCCCGGAGACCCCCGGAGACCCCCGGTGACCACGGAGACCCCAGAGAGCCCCGGTGACCACAGAGAGCCCCGGAGAGCCCCGGAGACCCCCAGAGACCCCCGGTGACCACGGAGACCACGGAGAGCCCCGGAGAGCCCCGGTGACCACGGAGACCCTCGGAGACCCCCGGTGACCACGGAGACCATGGAGACCCCCGATGACCACGGAGACCCCCGGTGACCCCCGGTGAACTCCAGAGACCCCGGAGACCCCCGGTGACCACAGAGACCACAGAGAGCCCCGGAGAGCCCAGAGACCCCCAGAGCACCCCGGTGACCTCTGGAGACCCCGGAGACCCCCGGTGACCTCTGGAGACCCCGGTGACCTCCCGGTCCGGTGACCACAGAGACCCTTGGAGACCCCCGGTGACCCCCAGTGAC